TTATTGTCTGTACTGCAACAGTTATCACCTTATTCAGTAATTATTTCATCTGTAGTACCATTCTCTCCAAGGAGGGCTTGTGTTCCCTTAAAACAAAAAGCAGGGAATACATCATAACATCTGGCCAGGACTGCATACATGTATCGTAGGTAATGATAAGGACACAGTTGTCCTACTTAGTAATAAATCCTGGGTGCACATTTTTTCATATTCTAATATCTTTAAAATCAAGATTCATCTTACAGTCCATGTTTTTAAAAGCATTTGTCATAGTTTAATTGACAGTTTTTTCATTTTTGGGAGGGCAGCATTTTTTCTGAATAGTACACAAAATAATGCCTCTTTTAGTCAGTGGTATCTTAGATTTGATGAACTATGTTAGAGCTTTTTTTATATTCTTGGTATAAAGATTATTAACTGTATGATGAAGTTATTTAAGTCCCAACTGATATTATATTAAATATCAGGTGATATTCAACATAGTATAATTGAGATACGGTTAAACAGAAGGACCGTGTCTTGAAGTGAGTTCACACTGAGCCCATAAATGTTGATGTAATGAAGGGCACAGCATGAGGCTACCTACCTTCAGATAGATCAAGAATTGGAATTGGAAGCTAACCAGGAGAGTATTTTTGTCTGGAGGAAGGCATGAGGAGGTAGCAAGCAAACTGACTTTCCTGTCATTTAGGGTTTTCACATAGCAGTCTGAGAGGTCTTCAAGATCAGAGTATAAGAACTTAGATATGATATCATGAGCAGAGGGGCACTGGAGGAGGTTGAAGTCTCGGAATACAGTAAGTCTTCACTTGATGTCATTGATGGATTCTGTGACTTTAAGCAAAACAGCATATAACAAAACCAACTTTACCATAGTCTAATTGATATAAACAAGTTAAGTTCCTACGGCATCTCTTCAATGTTGTATAAGGAAACGACATTGAATGGCACGACATTATTTGAGGACCTGCTGTATTACTCTTTGGTTGGCAGTTAAGCAAGAAAAGACACTAACGGGGTAAGGCTCTTTTCCTCAAGTGAAAATTTCATTAATTTCTTCTTTAAAATTGAAAGTATGCCTTTCAGCTTAACTCTTGAACCGAGAAGCCTGAGGTAATGATGCTGCTATTTTGTAAGCCACCTAATCACACTCCTTGTTTTTCTGTCACAGATTGCCTTCTCCCAGCACAGCAATTTTATGGATCTGGTACAGTTCTTCGTGACTTTCTTCAGGTAATTTCACTTATACAAACTATATCTGTTCTTTAATTGAGACACTTAATTCCATTAACAGCTTGTAAAAGACACATGAATAACCTTGTGTTTGCACAGCAGATCAAACTAACTATATTTACGTTCCTGAAAAGTTGCATGTCAGTAACAATAGTGTCAATTCAGTCTAATCTGCTAAAATGAAAACAGTTTGCTTTGTGTGTTCTGGCTTTTTGAGGCAGCTTTTCATGTACCTATGCTAAAATATAGATAATTTGGCCCTTCATATGGTGAGAATTTTGGGTTGAAACAATTAGTTAATAATGATTACAGGCGTGTGCTATGTATATGCTTCCCCTTGATCAAGAGATAATTCAAGTGATTATCCAGGGTTTTAAAGCTAAAATGACTTGTTAGGCCCCTAGGATTCTTT